CACAACTACAACTGCTGTATCTACAACTACAGCTTCAAGTGGAGCATGCCACAAGATCAATCCCAGCACTGTTTCCCCCCTGGTGCTCTTGTTATGGCTTCTGTCAAACCAGCAATAGCATCTGTGCTGGTTTCCATGTGAATGGCCAGCAGAACACAAACTCTTTCACTGAAATGAATTTAAAAAAAGGAAGAGAAAAGAATGACATTAGAAATCCAAGCCATGTGATTATCTTAAGGGTTGTTTGGCTTCAGAGGAACTTATGATCAAATGCAACCCACTGGAAATAGTCTGTTTGGTATGTTTGTCAATATGGAATGACTGGCCTGAAAAGAATGACACAGACTTTAACCACCCAGTTAATTTAATCATCAACAGCCAATCTGACCTAAGAATGCATGAACAAAAGCTTTAAATATATCCTGTGGGTGGGCCTGTAGTGTAGAGGCTTAGAACTTTACGCAGTTGAGCTCATTATATAGTGCCAAGCTACAACAATAGTCACCTCAAGGTGCTTTATGTTGTAATGTTAAGGTACTTTTATTGTAAAGACCCTACAATAATACAGAGAAAACACTGCCTGTTTAGGTCCAGGTCACTTGTCACTAAGTGTGTCTCTGCCTTCATGTCTGTTAACTGTTCTTTTTTTGTACTGGGAAAAAAGGTCAAAATGCACAAAGCTTTTAAATTTTTAAGAAAATTATCCACAACTATATAAAATACACAGTATATATCACATATTAGATGTAATAGTGTAAAAAGTAGATCTACAGGTGTCCCAAAAAAGCACAGTCACTTTTTTTATTTATACAAAGTGTATTTTTTTTATAATTTTCCATTTCTGTATTCTGCGAGATTTCTTTTCTTTTTTTTCTTTTTTTTTGCGCATTTTCTGTACGAAAAATCATAATGAACAGAATAAAAAAATTTATGAGTGTCAGGGTTTCTGGGTCGTTGACCCAGTATTTTCAGTTCACGTCCACTGTTCTATCTACTGCCTGTTCCACTTCCTGTTTTATTGTGTTAGCCTTGGGCTATGTCCCAATTCAGGGTATGCACGCTTGAAGTACGTATTTTAAGTGTGATTACGTCATTGCCACGCGACGACGGCTGTCCCAATTCGAAGTGTACTCCAAATGCATACTCCAAATGCACCGTCGATTTCCCCAAATATCAAGCGTGGTCCAGTGCACGCTTCGTGGTCCCATATATCCCACAATGCATAGCGCGACGCAGCCAGGCCAGTGCGTAATGATGTCAGCAGCTGCGGAGGAGGTTGAAACGGCGGCGGAGGACAGCAACACCCGCAAATGTAAGATATGTGTGAAGGAGCGAAACAAATGCCAAGATGTAAAAGTTAATGGGAGGTTAATAGAAAATGTCAAGGTGAATCATGTGACACCTGCCTGACCCACGTAACCGTAAATGCACAGACCCACAAAGCTGTGAATCCTGTACTAGACCGAGGGCAGTATGAATAGACGTATCACCACAGTGCAATCAACTGTACTAATATGACCCTGCCTGTGCCGCAAACAGGAATGTCAACATATACCAGGCAGGAATGTAGCTGTGTACGTTAAATACACATTAAATATAAAATGCAAATGCATAAAATATAACATATACATACATTTGTTACAGTTATCACACCTGCCATGTCAAATATGTCAAAGGGGATATTCCAAAGCGCCCTGAGGCAACTTTTGTTGTGAGTTTGCCCCATCCAAACAAAACTGAATTGAATTGAATTAAAACAAAACATATGACAGAGAACCCCCGACCCCAACCTAGGGCCTGATAAAGTAAATGTTCTGCCCCACTCAGTGCTGTCCCTGTCCCGCAATAAACAGTATTGCCTGACATTGCAGTGTGTATGTTCCACACAGCTGTAAATG